TATAGCAAGAAAATATATCTTTCTACCACATCTCTCTAACAAGAAGGGCAGTCAGAAGACTCCAGAGTTAGTGAAGGTGAAAACATTCAACTTCTAGAAACTCCGAAGGGGATTGGAAGCAGAGATCTGCATTTCACAGTAGAAACACCTTCAGTATTCTTGACCATCTAGCTAGAAGGGCTTACTTTTACTTTAAAAGTGTCCAGGATATTTTTCTGCCAAGATCCTTTAGAAAGATATTTACTATTCAGATATATCTGGGACCTATTATCAGATACCAGTGAGCTTTCTTTAAAAAGGGACTGAAAAATTATTTTATATGTTAAGGAATAAAAAGGGAAGGAGTTAGATGTTTTCCTATAGAACTTCTAATGGCTTCACAGAAAATGACAAGACTCAGAGATACCTTCATTCTCTGCTTTGGTTCAATTTGCTGAGACTAATTACATTCTCTTCCCTGGAGTGATTTTGGAGGCAAATGGAAGAAAGGTAACTCTTCTTTAAAAAAGGAAACATTTAGAATTTTGATGATATAAATTCCATTGAAAAGTTTTCTACTAGTTTTCCCCATCTCCAGAAAGCAAAAAATTTTCAAGTTGAAAATGCAGGTTACTCAATTTGCAGGTCACCCACAGCTTTGTGACACTATCTGAGCTAAATTCTACACCTAGTTCACAATATTTGCACCTTGAGCTTTTTTGGAAGCATGATAACATTATTTTAATGACAGCTTATTCACATTCCTCCCTTAATTCATTGCCCTCTACTAATAAACTTGTGGCACATCAGCTCCTACTAGGAGTAATATTAAAAACCAAAACACACAAGAAAGAGAAGGGAAAAAAAAAACCAACAAAAAAACCCACACATACTTTACCACAAATATGCTGCACATAAGGCAAATTCAGTTTCTGGATCTGTTATTGAGTAATATCTCTCACAAAGTGAAGAGATAAAAAGTTTGTCCCAAGAAGAGAAGGAACAGATGCAGCTCACAGTCTGGCACAGTGTACAGCACTTGACAAAGTCTGGAAAGAAAAGCCTGTAGTTCTCTTTCTACCTCACCAAGACAAAATGTGCAAATAGCTATAATCCCTTCCTTATTTGGAGGCCAATAAAACAACTGTTAATGCATACGGTGTTATAATATGTTTAACAGTAAAATTCACCCATTTGGCTTCCCCTAGGAATTTGAATTTTTTGGAGTTGGTGCCCAATCATCTATGTAATTTCTCAGTTCAGTAATATTAAAAGAAGCTTCCTACCTTCTGAAATATCACTCTACTGCTCTGACTGAATAAATTTAATTCTCTCCCTCTCCACCCCCAGCTAACATGAAACAGATGGGAAATACATTATACTAGAAGCTCTCAAAGAACTATTTTCTCCTTCAAATACCAGTCACTGATTGCAGTGTACTCCTTACACCAACTGAACTCCACTGTGAGGAAAAAGTCAAAGTTAGGCCTATTGGGAGTCCACTACAGCTACTGAGATGTCCACTGAGATTTTGCAGTTGGGTTGTTGGATTTTTTCCTTTTAAAGAACAGGTTCAATACATGGTGTTGAAAGAACTGGATTTGTCTAAGCACCTTTGCTAGGTATCTTTCTTCAAGACAACCCTTTAAAATGTATGACTTTCACACCTAAGCCTAGTGCCACACACCAGCAGACATAAGAACAACTCTGAGAAAATCATGTCCTTCCACACTGGCAAAAGAATCTGCGGTTGGAAGTTCAGAGTCTCACCTCGTTTTCTCATGTTTGTTTCACACAGCTCTAAGACTTTGCTTTAAATGGCATTTGTGAGATCACAATGACCCCTGAGGTGGCAAGGACTCCTTGGCACTCCTACAGTGAGAAGCAATCGGTGTACATCCAAGGAAAAAAAAAAGATTAATTCAGTTTGAAAGACGGAGTGATGAAGAAGGAACACATAGGACCTCAATTTCCAGGCTCTGTGTTTCACCACTCACAATTGTTTTCTTCCTTAGCCTTGCCAGAATTACCAGTTACTTCTATTCATGCAACAACAAGAACCACCAGCACCAAAAGAAAAACAAACAAAACCCCCAACAAACAAAATCTTCTGGCAACACATCCAGTGCAGAGCTGTGCATAAATCAAAATCCAATTGTTTTAGCATCCCAACTCCATAAATTTCACACACGGCAGAGGAGCTGTATGCAAAAGGAACACATTATTCCATCACAGCCAGCCAATCTAGCAGAACACAAATGAAAATCCCCACTGAGCTACAGGCTCAAGAGCTATTTGGAACTACAATGTGGCTGTCTACCACCACCTTTGCTGCAACACAGCCAGATAAGGCATTATTCTGTATCTTTAAAAGACCATCCTATTGTGTTGAGTTAATACAGCAGAGCTTTAGCAAGTGCAAGAGAGGAATCAGACTTCTGCCCATCCTGACAGAGCACAATGCTTTCTGCCATGAGCAGTCCCAGAGAAGTCACACAGCGTGCCAAGTACAAAGTATTTGCAGAAGTGAACCCTCAGACAAGGCTGGAAAAGCTCTGGGTTAAGGAAGCACACACCAACTTGCTTCTGCTTGATCTGTTCCACAGCTTGACAGTAACAGATAGCCAGTTGCATTAGTGTCAACGTTCAGATAAGTTTCTCTCAATATCTGTCACCAAAAAAAAAAAAATACAGCAGTGGTATCAGTGTGCCAGCTGTATTATCAGGCAGCACATAGTTGATCATGTTTAATAACATCCTTCAGCACAGACAGTGCCACAGTTCTCCAGATCCTTCTGGCTTGGAGCTGCCAACTCCACGAGTGCCTGCCTACCACCTTTTCCCTCTCAAACACATTAACTTGCCTTCAAAAGGAGCCAGAGTTTGTTTTGAAACTCTTAACAGGATCACTGAAAGAAAAGAGGAAAAAAATACCATAAATGATCCTCTGGACTGTTTCCAGAGTAGTGTGTTCTCTTAGTGATTGCTTTGGAAGTAAGCCAAAAAATGGGAAGTGTTCTTGCAAATGAGCACGTTACTAGGCTCAAGTGCAAGTTATCATTTAATTCTTTTTGTCAACAGCAGCATGGTTAGAAATTAAGAAGCCTATTTAATAAACAGGTTACTTGAACTCCAGTTACCAAACAGCAGTTTCTTCTCTATCCACCTCTGCCACGCTCACTCAGCTCCTGTCCCCCACCACTTCCCAACATACACTGCTTTCTTTTTTGGCTACTTTCTCTCTTTTATTGAAAGGCAAAGAAAATTAGTATATTAACTACATCAACCATAACTAGGTCTGCAATCAAGAGCAAGTTAACTAAGAAAAGGAAAGAAATTGCTCACTCAAGGAAGAAATAAATCAAAACCCTCAAAACTATGGCTTAATATTTTTAACAGAGCTTTAATAGAATCTCCCGAACGGCTTCGTCAGGGCAGTTTTTCACATCACAATTACTCCTAATGAGATCACCCTCTGCAGTGTATAAACCCTCATCTCTTCCCAACAGAACAATGAAAGATTTGTGCAGGGCTACAAAGGCTTCTGATCAACTCCACTCACTTCACCTTGTTCTGAATTTCCTCTCAAAAACTCATCAAAAACACAACTGTGTTTTTTTTACCCTGAAGACAAATTATTAATAAGTAGACTCATTTACTTTGAATTAGGGTGTCCCTAATCCTCTGCAGATTTTGAAGTCCTCACACAGGCACATCAGAGTCAGTGACTGCTGCCAGCTTTGGTTTTGAGATTCTCTATGTTTCTCCTCCTCATATATTTGGGTTTTTTTTTTTTTTCCCCAGTTCCTAACTTAAATCTCACCAACAAATATTTGCCTATCTTACAATAAAAATATGGTGATGTATAACTCCTTGTGATATCTTCTAATAAAAATTATATACCTTGTATTAAATGTACATGAAAATATCTGTCTTCAAACAAAGTACCTATTCTCTTGATTTTACTGTAATCATATATTTGGGTTTTTTTTTTTTTTCCCCAGTTCCTAACTTAAATCTCACCAACAAATATTTGCCTATCTTACAATAAAAATATGGTGATGTATAACTCCTTGTGATATCTTCTAATAAAAATTATATACCTTGTATTAAATGTACATGAAAATATCTGTCTTCAAACAAAGTACCTATTCTCTTGATTTTACTGTAAGACACTTGTATTAAATGTACATGAAAATATCTATCTTCAAACAAAGTGCCTATTCTCTTGATTTTACTGTATGCAAAGACAATGAAATATCCTTTCTCATCCTAAGCAGAAATGTCCTATGCCTGTAGCCCAAGTGACAGCAATGCTAAGGGTGAGTATCATTCTAAGAACATGGCTAACTGAATCAATCTGAATTAGAAAGTACAGCTCAGAAGTCTCTGATTTGCTTGTATTTTAAAATAATTACCCTGATCCCACTGCAAGCCAAAAGTTTAGTTAGTTTCATGCAAAAATATATTGTAGGAAGGAAACCATACTTCATTCTGATATTCTCTTTGAAAGATCTAACTTGTCTTGAATTTTTTAATACCTGACACAAGTCTCTAGCTCAGGTTTTATTGTGTGTGTATTCTTCCAGTTACTAACCACACCTCGTTCTAGATTTACTGCCTCTTTTTTAGTTTCTTTATATTTCTGTCATTGATCATGTGAAAGAATGAAGTGTTTACCTACTCACACTTGATGTTATTGATACAATATTCCGTGATAGGAATGTCTTGCTCAGCATTACCAAGAGGTACAAGAAACATCACCTTAACCAGTTTAAAATGTTAGTCCTGAACTTATATATATATACAGTACCACTTCAACTTGTCTTGTTTAAATTCAAAAATGCAGCATGCAACTACCAATTTCCATGACCTGCTTTAGATTACCCAGTGTGAACTTCACGGATGGAGGACCTGAAAACTTTTAAAGCACATTGAAAATCTACTTCTCTTGCAAAAAAAAAAGAAAAAGAAAAAGAAACCAGTAGAACTTGCCCTGTAATTGACAGCAAGTAGTGTGTTTACTTACGCTCACAGGTGTCTCCTTTCTGCTGGTATCCTGCTTTGCAGATACATTTTCCAATAGGCACTAACCATTCTCCCTCGGCGCTGCAGTGCATCTTGGGTGAGTTCTCTGCCTCCTCCTCCGCGCTGCTGACACAAGTTCCTCGCACTTCAACTAGAGAGGAAAACTCTGAGCCAGTCACTGTGTCAGGAAAAATAGCTAAGTTCTCAATGATGGACCAGCACTTCTTGTAGTAGACTTTGACAGAGACCAAAGCAATGCAGGCCCCTACGTCCTGAAACGCAAGATAGAATCCTTTTTTGGACAAAGGTCCAATTTCTCTCACCTCTGTGTTAAGTTTCATTTTTCTCTCCCCGAGATCACCCTGGGTAAAACTTTCATCTGCTGCAATAGTGTCTATTTTTACATATTGGTTTTCTCGGATATTCCTGCCAGTGTCGTAGTCTGTTTCATAATAATACAAGTTAAAAGTTTCTTTACAAGTCCCCAGAACTCCAGGAAGACTGTTACAATCCCTCAGAGTGAATTTCAGTTCTACAAAAATCCTTTGTGCATTGCTTTTCGCAATCCAGTTAGTCCGAAGCCAGTTGTTTTGGTTTGATTCCATCACCTGGCATACCTGGTATGTTCGTATAGGAGTGTAGTTTTCATCCAGTCCACTAATTTCTTCCCACTAAAACGACAACAAACAGTTAGTAATACAACAAGAAGGATGTCAGCAGATGCAACTACTATTTTTAAAAGTTTTGCACAGCTCATGTCTCCCTCAACAATAGGTTATTATTTAAAATACTCATAAGCACCTAAATGAAGGATATATATAAATGCAGCAATAAGTGTTCTCTCCCTCCATGTCTTTTCCATATATAAATAGCTTCTAAAAATCATTGCCATATCATGGGCACAGTTGCAAAGGGGCAGCTTCAGGTTCTGATTACACAGTGGACTCACACCTATTTTACTAAGGTCATGATGGTTTTGGGCAAGCAAAGACTGAAAGGAGGGAGGCAGCTTCTCTGCCAAAGAAACCTAAAATCAGTGAAGTCTTAGAAACTGGAATTGCCTAGTGTTACAGCACACAAAACTTGTGTATGTGGAACTTGATTAGAAAGCATGGATCAGGTCCTGAAACTCATTGAGTCAGATTCACTCCTAAGTGGCATAGAGAGAGGGCAAGAGAAAATGGACACAAAAATCTGAAAGCAAGAAAACATTTTGGCTGCCCCCCTTTTTTTTTTTTTTTTTTGTGCAGTCTGCCTTCTGATTTACTTACAAACCAAAGAGGTAAGTGGCAACTCCTCTTCACCTCACATTTTGTCCAGGGGCTGCACCCGTGTTAAAAGGAGCAAACTTCAATTAGTTGGGAGTTCAAATGAACCATGAGATTACAACCAGAATTAAAAACAACCCACATGACTGAAAGTTCAGCGGTTCAAAGCCTGAGTGTTGTTGATGTTCCCTCTTTAGGTTACCAACTATGTAACGAGCTGGTAAGTCTATAACAGCCCAGGAGTATTTAACAGCCTCTGGTAGCGTGGGAATTTACACCTCCAGCAATGACAAACCTTCCATGGAAATCAACCAGGCAGATCTGCCTAGGTGTAACCAAAACAATATCTGTCTCTCACCTTTTTTTCACATTTCTTGTAAGTTTCATTGCCTGCAGAAACCACAGCTGCAATAAACTGGGGGGATGGGGGTGTGTGAATTATCCTCACCCCATTGATACAGGCAACCATGACTTCTCTGCATGGCACTCAGCCCTCTGGCCCTATGTCAATAATGCACTTAAGCTCATGCTTAAGATCAGTGACAGTACTTATGAGCTTAATGGTAAGCACATGCTTAAGTGCTTCGTGGGACTAGTTATTCTCTGCACCTCTGTAGGATGGAACATCCACTGACATTCCTTACACCAGCAACCAAGCGTGGAAAGCATTGGTTTCCCAGATCAGGAGCCATGCAGTATACAGCACTTTGCAAGTCTATCTGACAGCAAATGAGATCATTTCAATGTTGTTGTACTGCTCCAAAGAAAAGCAGATGTGGCTGAATTGATGTTGGAAGTTATCACCACAAAATATATCACGGCTGCCGATGCTGAAATGCACAGAAGTTGTAAATATCAAAGCACATTTCAAAGAGCCACAATTAATATAGATGTGGTGTATAGGGTATTGTAGATGCATATGGTATTAAATGATTGAAATAGATTATTAAATGCTTGTGGAGCTAACTGAAGTGATTGCATATGGAACTGCCTTAACCTCAGAAGAGAAGAAAGTCTATCTTCACAACAGATTTATTAGATTTGAATGAGCAATATTTTTTCCACATCTATACAAACTAGTACAAACAAGGAAAATAAAAAGGGGCCCTAGACTGAGAGGCTTCTGGCTCTGCCACAATTAGAATAAAAAAAAAAAAATTAAAAAAATCCCCCCATCAAAAACAAAGCAAAATAAACCCACAGCCAAAAAATCCCACCAAGATGACAAAAACGGCACAAAGCCTACAATTTTACTGATTTTCATACTCTCCATGTCATATCATATAGTGCTATTTGCTTTGGGGTTTCTTTGAGTTGGTTTGGGGGAGTTTATTTCACTTTTTATCTTGCATAAATATTCTTCCCTCCAAACTCTCAGTCAGATTCTGCAATGAGATACTCAGTTAGATGATGCATTGTACCTTCGAAGTGAAAGTAACTAATGCACCACACAACAGAATCTGACTCGTCTCATGCTCGACCTAAACAAATCTCATGTCCCACCCACAAAAAACCCCAAACAAACTAAAACCAACAAAATAGATTTTACAAAATCAACCTATTTTTCATATTACAACACAAATGAGCCTTCTCAGGGTCAAAATCCCTAGGCTGGCTAGCATCAGATAGAGTCTCATACTTCGATCAAGGAAAACAATACAAACACCTAAATTGATATAACAAGTCCTACTTTTTGTTAACTCTAGCATTAAACACTCAACAATATCTTTCCATATTTTCCCAAAGCAAAAAAAAAAAAACCCCAAAAAACCCAAAAAAGAAAATACGACTTATGGTTCAATTATGTAATCAGAGAGCTATTATTTCAAGTAGTCTTTTCTCTGCAGAGAAAAAAAAAACCACCACATCAGTACTTCGGCATGTTTTCACCTACGGCGTCTGAGATCATGTTTCATTAGAGCCTTCTTATAGTTTTCAATTCCATCATTAACTTGTACAGCAAGAAAACTCAACCTTTCTTTGTCCTGCTGCAAAATATGGTGAGATACCTGCAATTCTAATTGAATGTATCCTGTTCTATTGGTTTCCATTTATGATATTTGAATTTCTTAGTGATCTTAACAATGCTAAATGTAACATTTGCAGTTGAATGAGGCATTTAATGAGTGTCTGACTGGTATATTCTGTACTGTGATGATGCAGTAGTACTCTTGAGAAGATTTTGTGTTTATTCCCATGAAGCCTTTATTGCACAGCAGAAAATTCAGTCATTAAACTAAAAAATAAATCCTTTTCAAAATGACATTGTTAAAATGCTACTTTTATGTTAATTTACAGGCAACTGTTTCTGAACATTTTCACACATGCAAATCCAGATATTAGTTTTGATTCACTTTTAATTCCTGCTTGGCTTCTACCTCTGACAATCGCCTTCTACTAGTTGTTGAATTTGACTCTACTTTCATCTTTCAGTATGTTGACATGTGTAACATGTGTTGACATGTCTTTCATTATCTATAGGTTAGCCTAATATAATTGCCACCAAGCTAATCTTTCAAACACCTCTGGTAAAGGCTCCAATCAGTGCACAACACTAATGCCAAGGTTATTAACCATCGTACGTGTTGAGCTCGCGTTACATTCCCTCTGAAGTCCTCAGATTAGTTTCCAGTTTATGCTTGTATTGATATTACAATCTTGCTTTTAAAGAAAAGACACTTTCAAAATTTCATTCTTCTTATTTAAAGGATTTGTTACACTTTTCTATCCCCACTCACACTTCACGCTCCTCTGCCTCCAGATTTCTTAATGCGCTGGAGATTAAGGGACTCATGCCCCAAGTCCTTGTTCGTGCAAGGAGTGGCAATGGATTCAGCACAATTCCCTCCATGAGGAACAACTGTCCATATAATTTATGATTTGTCAGACTGAGATCAGGTAGAACTGAGCTAAGGTAGGACAATATCCCCATTATATCCCTCTGAAAATGTTCTTCCTCAAGGCTTGAGGAGGAAGGGGCTTTCTGACACTTTTAATTCAGACTGAAAGCATTTCTCAGCTTCCTGTATACAATCAGACAATAGCACTGATGTTTTTAAACGTCTCATTATTTATAATGATGTATTTTACAGCGGTACATTTCACAGAGTACCATGAGATTAATTTGCAAGCAAGCTGGAGGTGACCTAAACCACATAATTCGTGCCTAGTTCCAGATATCAAGCTCCTCAAGGCTTGGGGATGTTTCAAGTTTTGGAATGTCATTTCAAACACATCTGCAATCTAAATGTTTTTGTTTCAGAGCACTTCAATCTGTGCTATTCAATTACAAAGAAAACATCGTAAACAAATTTATGATCACCCATTCTGCAGAAAATGAAAACCACATTTTTAGAAAGTTTCCACACAGAAGCAAATCTGCTGCTTCTATAGAAAGAAGGAAAAAGGGATTTAAAATACTGTGTTATAAATATACAGTGTAATCCTTTGTAGAGCACTACAAAGCATAAAGCTACCAGGAATATTTAGGTGAGTTCCTAAAGCACCTCTTGGTTTTAATTAGCTTGTACCTTTGTCTACTGTAAGCTGAGGTTTTATTCTAAAAATGAAGAAGCCATAAACACTTGGTTTGCTTGCTGAAATATGAGGGAGAACTAGATTAAAGCCAGTGTTTCAACTTATTTAGCAAAATAACTACTCATCTTTAGGAACTTTATTTTTGCCTGGAATACTTACCCCATTGGGAGGAGAGGAAATCCATTCCAATTCTGTCTGTTGTGCTTTAGAGTCCAGCAAAATTACTAAAAGAAGAGGGGAAAAAATGAAATTTCACAGTTTGTTAAATAAGTCAGAATATAAAACCAAAGAACAAAATCTGAATTTATAAAAAGGGATAGAGTGAATGCAATTTTGTACAAATTAGTATTTTTTCCTTTGTATTATTAAACAATTTTACCAGCAACCACATCTATGCACTTACATATCAATTTATGACTAAGTGACTATGTACCATACACATATAAGTAGCTATAAATTAACCTTTACAATTTCATTGCTTAAAATAAAATAGGTTTTATTCAGTGCTCTGAAGTGTTTCTAATCAGTCACGAAGATTTATTCTCCCTCCATCTCCTTTGTCATAAGAAGGACATTTCCCATATGCCAATTATTACAATCAGCTTCAAACAAACAAATACAGACCAACATTTCAACACAATTCTGAAGTGATTTAGACAGGACTAGTCTATACCTTACTGGGAGTTGCACTGAAAAAGCAATGATCTTTTTAGAGTGTGAAAGTAGAAAAATATGCCCCTTTGGTGACAGCAGTAATTCTGTAAATAAGTGACAATGAGGAATACAGAAAATAAAACACTCTGCAATAACCTCACACCTCACATACACAAAGTCAGACTCATTCACTTTATGGTAATGTCATCCTAAAATCTTCCTGCCATTATACCCCAGTGACATTTCTATACAGAAAGACATCAGTTCTAGTAGCATCACAATTATTTTCACTTAAATGTAACCCCATCTCTGAAAGTGGTGAATCACAGCCTAATAAACCAACTCTTACATATTTTACAGTACATATTGGAGATTATATCACTCATGTACTATTACCTTCAAACACATTTCTATTCATGTCTTATATTCCAATTACAGCTCTAAGTTTTTTTTCTTAGCATATCATTATAAGTCTGTAAGATTTTCAAATGGTGCATATGTTAATTTGTGCTGACCAATAAAAAAGAAAAAGTGAAATAATTTGTTGTGATACCTTCTTTCAAACAGGCAAAGCTGTAGAGTGAACTAGGTTTGGCACACTTTGAAAAGTTGCACAGTTAACTTCATGCTTCTATCTGATTAAATTAAAAGTGATATTTCTAATTTAAACCTCTTCCATATATCTTTAGCTATAAAGCTATTTATAACTTCATACACAGCATTTGCTTACTGATATTTTAGATGTGTGATTTAAGGCTGTAACTTGAAGCAACTTTTTTCAGGTCTTTTGAAACAGTTCGAGCTCTCACTTTGGCCCTTCCTCCTAACAGAATTTACACAAAATTTCAGTGAATTGCAACAAAGATGAGATGCCCCAAAAAGTTTTTTCTAGGGTCATGCAGTAATACAGGGAATGTTAGCTGAACCCAAACCGGTAGCTTCCAGGCCTGGATTTCAGTAATGAAGTGGAACTACTCATTAAGGAAGTATAGTCTCGCTCTAGAAAGATTACCTGCTTATTTCATTAAGCTTGGATTCAAAGGGCTTTACTTTGCAACACTTTCTATAGAAAAGCAGGTGGTGTATGTGCTGGTTTGTTAAACAAGAACATTTATAAGGGTCAAAAAAAAAAAAAAAAAGAAAAAAGGCACTAAGAAAAATTTAACCATTTCAACACCAGCCCAACACCCCACGGCTGCAATTCTTTATCCTTTTTTTTTTTTTTTTAAATTTAGCAGCAATTCTCCATCACGTAGCAACGGGTGGGCACATCACAGGAAGAAAAGACAACAAGCAAACCAAAAGAAAAAAAAAACCAAATAAACAAACACAAACCCATGTTTTGTTAAAAGCCACTTGCAAAGAAATCCTAGCGTTCCTTCTGACCCCTAAAGTTACCGGGGAAGAGCTCTCGAGGCCAGTGGCTCCCAACCCAGGGAATCCTGCGGCTCCCCCCCCCGCCCCGGGGGGAGGAGG